AAGGTGACACTCGTCGCCCTAGTTGTGAATGGTCGTAATCCACAAAATGTTCATTATTGAGTTATTAACACTGTTGTTACTGTTAACATACTTAAAAATGTTTAAAGTTCATGTTGGCGAATAGATCTAAGCCAGTGATCAATATTTGACCTTATTTGAAAATTATTTTCCAAGTTTTTGGTGGATTTATGCTTCCGAGGATCTTATCTTTGAAGTTTGGCGAGCGGAGCGAGCAATCAGAGACTTAAAAATGATTAAAATTTCAAGATGTTATATTTAATAAAGGTTTTTCACGTTTTTGGTGGATTTGCGCTCCCAAGGATCCTCTCTTTGAGGTTTGGCGAGAGTAGTGAGCCATCGAAGACTCAAAAACAAACTCAAGGTGTGTGCAGAAAGATTTTCAATATAGAATATAGGTTGCCGTCTAGCGAATGAAGCAGATTCGAAACATCAACAAGTTTAAAGCCCAAATTGGAAAAATGTTAAGATACTAATAAAGGCTTATGTGGACGAATTTCTTAATGACAGCAAGAGCTGACTGGTAGGATATAGGATATACGGATTCTAAAGTAATAAAACACCTTCCAGTAGGCACTTGATCAATTGACGAAAAAGGACCTACCCTACCAGTAGAGGCGCACAATCGGTGGATAAAAAAGGACCTACCGGTAGGCGTAGGATTCACTCCCAAAAAATTATCTAGTTTCTGTCCGAATTAATAGTTTAAGTACCTAGTTAACAAATATTTCATTAAATAATGAAAATCATAGTTGTAAGCAAATTTCTATGCAAAATAATTTAAAATACGCATAAAAACATATTCAAAACAAACTTGCTTGGCCGCCACGCCACATTGAATTTTCCTTTTTGACAGATGGATTGAATTGCCTAATTCCTCCAAACCGAAAAATTGGCAGCACAGCATGTCTATCCCCAAAAATAATTACAGATTTCTCAAAAAACTACAGATTTCTTTATAATTCCCTCAATATACAGATGTTTTCATTTACCTTTGGCTACATTGGAACTATCGATATTGGTACAGGTCTATCGATACTATCGAAAATTGAAAAACTATCGATAGTATCGATATCCCTATCGATAGTTTGTTATCCCTAAAAAGAATCTAATTTAAAGTAATATAAAAACAAAAATATGTACTACTTTTTTCTTGTATTAGCATTTTTTCATTACTAAGAACGAGATTATTTCCATAACAAACCGGAACATGTGTTTTTGCGGATATTTTGGGGAGCGATACCATTTCTTCTACCCTGCCCCAGGAGGCAACCAAGCCCTAAGCAAAAAATATCTTCTTTGAACTCTTTAGAGTCTTTAGGTTAGGATCGTTAGGATAGTGAATTATCGAAAACTTAAATTTTACCGCCTTTTGGAAATATAGTGCGCATGCCCGCTCCTCGAGCTTCATCTCGCGAGGTGGTGCTTTTGGAGTTAACTCTTTTCACTCTACATGGCTGTACCCGAACGATGAGGAGCTTGCACTATTTGCTCCCAGTGGCGTGACTCGATCGATTTTGCAGTGAAAAGGATCAAAGGAGTCAAGAGTTGCCAAGCCAAACTCAGCTGGTGAATTCGGCTTGGCAAAACGGAGTTGGAGCGGATAAAGAGCAGTCTCATAGTCACGTGATCACAGAGTGAAAAGAGTAAAATGGTTAAGTCAAACGCATCAGGAGCAAGGCGAGCCGCGGCCCGCGAATGCCGCGGGCGCTTGTCCCCCTCACTAACCAAAACATGTGTTTTTGCGGATATTTTAGGGAGCGATGCAATTTTTTTCTACCAGGGAGCCCCAACAGGCAACCGCAAGCTCTAAGCAAAAAATTTCTTCTTTGATTTTTTTAAGTTGAGATCGTAAGGATAGTGAATTATTGAAAACTTAATTTTACCGCCTTTTGGAAATATAGGAAGTGCGCATGCCCGCTCCTCGAGCTTTATCTCGCGAGGTGGTGCTTGTGGAGTTAAATCTTTTCATTCTACTTGGCTGTACTCGAACGATGAGGAGCTTGCACTTTTTGCTCCCAGCGACCTGACCCGAACGATTTTACAGTGAAAAGTGTCAAAGGAGTCAAAAGAGTTGCCAAGCCGTACTCACCTGCGGCGCTCTGGTCTCTGCCATATTGTTCTCCATCGTGGAATTGGATGCAAATTCTCTGGCAAAGGGATCTGCTTTTACCTTTTGACGATACTACAATGGAATTACTGCCCTTAACTAAAGGTGGAAAGGAAGAAGATTAAAGTATGGTAGGTACCTATAAATAGCTGAGTTTGGAGAATAGCTCCAAGAGCAAAAAGATTAAAATTTTGATAGTTGTAACGTGTTTACCTTCTATAAAATCAATTTGAACTCACGTGTAAAAAAATCTGTCACAACTGCGATGTTATTTCGGAACTCGCCATAGGCGATTTTCAGCCTGGAATGATATTATTTGGTTTAAAAAGTAGATATACACTCACTGCAACTCACCATGTAGATCATTCCGAAAAAAATCTCTTTGATGAACGAGACTAACGAAACATTCCGCTCCATTTTTTGTACCTTAACAAGAAACAATTGTTGAAACCTTAACGAAAAAACAAATAAGAGCCTATGTCGTCACACTTGGCTGTCAAATTTGTCAACCAAGAATAACCACGGTATTTACGGATGAATAATCATTTCAGGCTGAAAATCGCCTCATATGTTTAAACAGTCACGAGTCACGATTAAGTAACTACAACGGAACTACCGTGGAAGCTTTCAATCTTCAATGAAGTTGCTGCGGAAGATAAACTGCATAAATAGTTGTGTTCCTTTCAAGAGTTTAGAACACTAGAGCTACTCGCTCCGGTGTTAGTCGACCCCGATATGCAAGGAACAGATGCGCTGGCTTTCGTGAATTATTCGAAAGGAATAAGCGCGTAACGCCCCGGAGGTGTTCCAAAGCTCCTCCTAGGTGTGAAAGGTATATAACTATCGTAGGACCCAAGTCATACGTAGGCAGAGGCACCTACATACATACATACCGCACATTGGCGCGCTGTGGCGCGCTCTAGAGCACCTCGGGGGCGCCACGCACTAGATTTGTACCGTTCCAGTATCATGGCGTGAGACGCCTGTCATAGTGTCAAATATGTCAAATTTTAAAAATAATTATCAGTTTGTGTGTGCAGTTTGTTTTTTTACTTATCAAAAATGAAAGAGAATCAAAACTATATTTTGGAAATGTTCAATCCCGAGATATAACAAGAAATAAATAAATAAATAGCCACCCACGGCTGTGACCGCTGATAGGTTGACGCGTACGTACAGCTCGGGAGCTCAAGGCACTGAGTAGCTCCGAGCGTCACACTCCCATACTGGAAAGCGGCTCTTAATGTATCATAAAAGATCCTAACTTCATGTTTCGAGCGTAGGTAAATTTGTAATGGACCTGAAATAAAAGTTATAATTGTTCAAAAGTGACAGTTGATAACTAAATTTCTCTGGTTCTCCATCCATCCATCCAAGGAAAAGAGAGCGAGCTCAGAGTCGCTTTCAAGTGACGCACTTTTTTTAGCACTCCTAAGCTGCTCTAGAGCGCCCCGGACTATTTATAGGCGTTCCAGTGCATTAGAGCTTCGCGCAACTGAACTAACTGTTCGTTTTTCCTCTCCCCTGTCCTCTCAAGCACCAGCAATTTCATGGGTGGATCAATAGTTGTATTCCTTTCAAGAGTTTGAAACACTCGAGCTACTCGCTTCGGTGCTCAGTCGCCCCCAATTTGCAGGGAACAGATGCGTGGTGCAACAAACAATTTTCGAAAGGAATAAGCGCGTGAAGCTCCGGAGCTCCTCCTAGGTGTGAAAGGAATACAACTAATAATACGACGCTTGAAGTAGGGTCCGTTCCAGTGACACAACCAATGAACTATAACCAAAAACTGGAATGCTAACACATAAGGACGAACTTGAAGCCTAGTGCAGCTGCTGCGGAGGGGATACCTGTTTTTGTCGCACTCATTATGTTAAATGGCGAAAATTGCTTCCAACACGTATTCCAATTGATGAAACCTGTGAAGGGAAATATGACAAAACTTTCGAAAACGTCATATGTCAGCGAGCAACAGAAAAAAACAACATTCCCCCTTGTGGCATCTGTCTTTCATGGCTTCATTTTTTTGGCAGAAATGGCAATGTGTGCGCATTCCAGTTTTTAGCTATAGTTCATTGGACACAACAGTTGTTTGGAGCATCAGAGTGTGAAGCTACGGGTGTGGAGCACCTTAAAGTTCGTCACTGGAAAGCGACTCTGGGTACGTGCTCGATCGAACCCGAACGCAAGAGAGAACACTCTGAGTACTAAAACAAACAGGATCTTATTGTTTCGAGCGCGCTCAGGGTTTACAGAGTGTAAAGCCGAACTCAGCCAAACTAGTCAGAGCGTTTTTGATTCGTCCAAATTGCCTACTAAGGATTGCTTATCGGCCTCGTTTTTGGTAATCGCTGCCATATTGGTGTGTCACCATTTCCGAAGTCATAACGAAGTCGTCGGCTGTTTGCAGTTTGCACTAGCGGTCGTAGTTTAGAATTTGAATTTATGATGAAAAATATTATCTAATTTTCATTAACATAATAGGCAAAGAGGAAGATGAAAACAAGTATGCATAAAGCAAAGGCCCGCGGAATCATAACCTGTGGTGCAAACAGCCTACGTCCAGGCGAGATAGGACATGCTGGCTACGTCACAGTTGGTGATTTGGCATGGTGGATGGATTCAGATTTGTTTCACACAGGCCTTATGTGGATATAGGCTATCTTGTAGTAGTAGTGTGTATCATCTTCGCAAATTGCCAACCAAAACAACCCATTGTCTAACTATTTTCAACCAATGAAATTCGCTTTGACTGGTTTGTGATTTCTATGAGAACAGACCTGTTATCGAACGAGCCCCAGTCCAGGCTGCTGGCAACCCACAACCCACGTTTCATTTTTTGACAAATCGAATAATCAGCAGATTTGTCCCTCTGTCCTCGACTCCGTCAACAACAAAAAAAACATAAGTCTAAAGTAATTTCGTTGTTCGTAAAAAATTTAATTATAATTATCCAATAAATTAGAAAGTTTTGACAAATGCTTACTTATTAGCAACGAATTAAATGATAGAATGTTATAGAAAGAGAAAAATACAGATGCAGTGCAGTGTCATGTGCTCTCAAAATGTTATTGTTAGAAAATCATGATGGTGGTACCTACTAATTTTTTTTTTTGAATAAAGACAACCACGATATTTCAGCAAAGACGTAAAGATGGGTAACTGCTTTAAGAGGTCCACGACAGATGATATTTCTCTTTTAAGAGGCAGTGATAGTGTTAGAGAGCCATCCTCAGACCCTGTGGGGCCCCCAAGTTACCAGGTAATTAATTGTCTTTTTTTTGTCAAGGATAATATTTTGTGGCCTTCCAAATTAGTACATTACAATACTTCGAGTGTGACCAATCTGAAACTACTTAGTTGAAATAAATATTATTTTGTTTCCATTGTTCTATATAACTGCATATAGCCAGTCATTCTTATCATCTCTCAAGTTGTTGTGATGGCTTTTTGTTTGTCAACAGCCTATCTTTAAAAATTAATAATAGAATTTGCTATTATGTTTATTTTTCAACTGCTTACTTTAATATTATAATATTTTCCCATATTGTTATTGTCAATCTCGATCTATGTAATTATTGCGGTATTCATCAATTGGAATTCAAATTCAAATTTGAATTTGAATTTCCAATGTAAGACCATGTATATTTTTAAATTTTTGAATTCGGTATATAATTATGAGCAAGTTTCCTTAATACTTTCCTATACCTATCTGTCGCCGTTTTTCGGGAATAAATTAATTTCAATTTTCAATTAATCAACATCTCCCTCCTATAAAACAATTTTGAGCTGTAATTTGGGTTATCCCTCTAGGCATTTGATCTTTCACTCACATCTTAGTTCAAGTATACAGGAGGGTCCGGAAATTAATTTTTGTCTGTAACTTACAAAAATGCCAGTTTTTTTTTTAAATGGAATACCCTGTATAATAATACGGATTTTAAATGATGATAAAACTAGCTTTCAGACATGTATACTTTGCCCATACCTAATTCTTCATAGTTTCGATTTATTAGCGTTTATTCATTAGCATTTTTTCCTCGGTTTATACTGAGGTGAGTGTTGAGAGTGATCGAAACATTCCTGTCTCTAATTTATCTAGTTTGTCTAATTGCAGTATCAGTTCGGTTCAAATTACCCCTCTTGATATATTTAACAAGATACATTCATTGAAGAATGGATTGGGTTGTGGTCCTGATGACATCCCAGTATTATTTGTTAAGAATTGTAGTTGTATTCTTTCAGAGATATTATGTAAAATATTCAATAAGGCTTTAGAGTTGGGACGGTTTCCTGATATGTGGAAATTAAGCTATATAACTCCTGTGTTTAAAAGTGGAGAAAGAAATAATATTAAAAACTATAGGGCCATATCCAGAATGTCTATTTTTTCTAAGGTATTTGAGTCTATAATAACGGATTTTCTTACACCAATTTTGAAACATGTTATTGTACCAGAACAGCATGGCTTTATTAAGGGTAGATCTACATTGACTAATCTTCTGGTCTATGAGGAGGCTCTGTTGGAGGGCTTGGAGAATAAGTGTCAGATTGACTCGGTCTACACTGACTTCTCCAAGGCCTTTGACAGGGTTGACCATAAGATACTATTGGAGAAGGTGGCCGATGTGGGGCTGCATGGAGGTCTATTGAGCTTGATTGGAAGTCTTCTCACAGGTAGAAAACAGGCTGTAAAAATTGAGAATTACATCTCTTTTCGGTGACCTTGGGGGTGCTTCAGGGAGGACACCTGTCTCCTTTGCTGTTTAGTATATTTATTAATGATCTGTCAGGTGTCTTCAGAAATTCCGATTTTTTGCTCTTGGCTGATGACTTGAAGTGTTTTATGGTTGTTCGGGATGTCAGGGATGCTCAATTATTGCAAGTGGACTTGGATATGTTTCGGACTTGGTGTCAAAGAAACAAACTCCCCTTAAATGTTGAGAAGTGTAAGGTTATTACTTTTTCTCGGAAAAAAAACACCTTACTTACATAATTACGTTCTTAATGATTTGGAGATTAACAGGCTGAAACTATTAGAGACTTGGGAGTCTATTTCAACACTAATGTAAGCTTCACAGAGCACATTGAAATAACTGCTAATAAAGCAATGAAATTACTAGGCTTTATGTTCAGGTCACTAAAAGAATTTACTAATATCTACACCCTAAGAAACATTTATTGTGCAATTGTTAGATCAGTTGTAGAATATGCTTGCCCTGTCTGGTCCCCTTATTATGCTGTGCACATCTCCCACTTGGAACGAATCCAAAAAAAGTTTTTAAGATCCATTGCATATCGATTGGCATCCCAAGTGAATCTATAAATTATAATGAGTTAATGTCTGTCCTAAATCTTGAAAATTTGAACCAGAGGCGACAGTTTTTTGATATGTGTACTTTGTTTAAGATTGTTAATAATTCTATTGATTCTCCAGACTTACTTGCTAGAATTGGCTTACATGTACCATCTAGCAATTTAAGAGGAAACACATTGTTTAACCTTGATTTTCGTAGAACCAATTATGGTTACCATTCACCTTTACTTAGAAGCTGTCGTTCTCTGAATGATATTATTTTGAAGACTGATTTGGATGTTTTTAACATAAGTTTGGATAGATTCAAAAGAATTTTAAAGTCGATCCTAAAATGATCGTTTTTTCTATTTGTATTCAATTTTAAGCGTATTATGTTGTTTGTGTTTGATACCTACTACAAAATATTTGTTTAGGCTTATGTAATGTTGTTTTTTTATACTAACTTGTCTGTTGCCTACTTGTTATTCCAAATATTTATTATTGCGTGTACCTACACTTTAAGTCTACCTTTGTAAAAATGGCATGTCCGTAAATAAAGAATGTATTTATTTATTTATTTATTTATTTATAGCATTGTTCCATTGTTCCAAATTTCAGCCCAAAATTGTTTTATAGGAGGGAGATATTAAGATTTAGTCCTATTTTCATTAAAAAAATAAAATAAATTAATTACGGCGACAGATAGGTATAGGAAAGTATTAAGAAAAGTTGCTCATATATGCCGAATTCGAAAATTTAAAAATATACAGGGTGTTCCATTTAAAATAGCGATGTTGCTACTGGTTTAGAGTAGAAGCGGCAACACCGCATGGTCAAAAATATTTTTAAAGGTAGATCCATCATGGACGTTTATCCCGGTTTCCAAATTTTCAAAATGATTCGCTATTTAGTTCTCAATAAACGTCTAATACGCCATCCACCGTGGGACACGCATACATAGGGTACAATACCTATTTAGAAGTACCAGTTCTTCTAGTGACTAAACGTATGTCGCTTCTTGAACACACAGATAAAACTAGGTATTAGCAATCGACGTTCGTTTTTGTTGGTAATTTTTTGTTTCATCTGATTCGTGATTGATGAATAAGGATGGAATTATTCTAAATGAGTATTAAAAATACTATAACACTGACAAATATTTCAACGAACATATACACATTCTGCGACAAAATAATCGCTGCGGATAAAAAATAGAACCAGTCCTATTTCACGGCGACGCGAATGCGACAAAATTATCGCACTACAACAAATCGCTAGTGCTCGTTTACCCTTAAATGTCATGATTCTGATAACTTCCTAGCCTCTTCAGTGAGCTAGTCAGTCTCAGTTGAAAATCCTAATTATAATATGTATGTATCTACAGAATTATTATTGTATTCCAAGTTGAATTCCAATTTTTTCCTCGATTTTTTTAGAATATTTTTAAATTTACATTTTTTATTAATTTAGGTTTATTCATTCATTGATCAGTTACATGTTTAAAAACCATGTTGAAAACACTCGAAAAGAACGAGGAAAAGAATATGAAATACTCATCACTGAGCTTAGTAGATAACTTACTCAATAGTATGTAGGTCTTTTCTTAATTTTATTCACAATTCTGTGGCTTGGTCGAAAAAGGGCCCAAGTGCAAATTTTCCAAAAATGAGCTATTGGGCCTAACTAACCAAATAACTAGTGCTCTTTCAAATGAAAAAGGTCCTAAGCGAATAAAACTCTTAGGTTATCAAAATTTTGATGTAAAAAGGACCTAAGTGTAAAAATTATAATGCATATAAAGACCTATGTTCAGTTAAGACCCATTTTCATTGGTATTATCTACCCATAAGAATAAAGTGTAAAAACTCAAATGGGCATAAGTGGTTGATAGGCCTGAAAAAATTTGGTCTATGTGCTCTTAGGTCTTTTTAACATTCTATCTGCTTTTTCCCTATAGAGTCTATCTGCAACTTAGATTAATTTAATTTTACAATTTTGGTTCTATATTTACTTAGGGCCTTTTCAATTTTACCGCCAAAAACAAAAGCAGGCCTAACTGAAACATAGATATGGATTATTCTCTAGTCGTCTAGGTTCAAATGTTACTTAGGTCCTTATTATTGGGAACTTGAATTTTGCTGCATTCTAAGTACGACGTAGGCCCATATCCTCGAAGTAGATTTGATTCAGGCTGCAATTGCTGCAGCCAAAAAACTTTAATGGACATAGAAATGCTCAGAGACTGGTCTACACTTATCAGAATTACACAGCGAAAAGGGGAAATTGAAGTGATTGCCATGTCGCACGAGGATTTTTATACTAAGTCTTCTTCAAAAAGCTCATTACATAAATCGCAAAAAAAAACAGAAGTAGAACCAATGTCGTTTCTAAACGCAAACTATTCCAGATATGAATAATCCTATTAAAATTATTTACAAAGCTTTTTGAAAGAAGAAGAATTTGAAGTGTAGGATATAACAAGAAAGAAAAAACGGCAATCAGATGAAGCCAGAAGCATAACCGACTTTAGAAAAATTCCACAACTTATATCCGCCCCTTCCCCTTCCCAAAAAAAAAACTGGATGGATCAAAAGTTCGTTGAGTTACATACATCCCAATACCAATAGTCAACTTTTTTATTTTTTTTTATTTTTTTTTTTACGGATATGCGCACTCGCAAGGAAATGTCCTATCACGCTCGAGAAGCGGCAAGTGCGCGGAAATGTCGGTGTATGTTGGTCTTGAAACGGTTCAGGTTGTAACCTGCAGGGAAAACCGTCGCAGGGAGTTTATTCCACAGCGATGCTGTTCTCCAGAGATATGAATTCTGATATAATGAGGTTCTTGGTGCCTCTAGTTTGACAGTAAATTCATGGTTACCGTCTGTTTGACGGGTTCGCCTGGTAGGTGCTACTCTCGGTGGAATCATACGTGCCAACTCTTCAGAGCATTTTCCGTGATAGTAC